CAGCGATTTTCACAAATTGGGGTCATTGACATTCTCATTTGAAGCGTTTAGTATAAAATATAAATTTGTTTTAAATCCACGATCTCTTGTAACTTTGAAATCACTTTTGAATTACAAGACTGCATGAAAATAAAAAAGGTTAATAAAAAAACCATTCGGTTAAATTGTGAATCATTACGGCTTATAAATGCCTAAATCGCTTAAAGGCAATGAAATTTAAATAATTTGCTTCAGTAAAATATTCATTGTCTACTCCCCCTTTTGAAAAATCACAAAAAGGGTGAATAAATAACAAAAATAAAAACATTCATTAATTTTCATTAGATTTTATTAACGAAGAATTGTAACTAGGCTAATTAACACTAACAACCCTAAAACAAACGTCTCTTTAGAGTCCTAGACTGAAATAAATTCCATATCTGTTGCTCACTAAATTCATATTCGTTTCCGGTGGCAATGCTTAGTTTACAAACTCGATGTCAAGGGAGACGAATGTTGTTATCTGCTCATATTACTTGGAATATGATCTGTCCTGTATCGCTGACTATTCCCAAACTACCATAGACAAAACAATTTAATGATTAGATTCATAAGACACAATTACATTGTGGTTCAAATATTATTAACAACTATCTGTCGCCCGCGAATCCGTCCGCGTGGAATTTTTTCACCTCTTAAACCTTCTTTAGACCAATACGAACATTTCAAGACCAAGATAAGATAAATCCGTTCAGCCGTTGCCGAGTTTTAGCAAGACTAACGAACAGCAAATGATTTTTATATACATATATAGATATGCACCGTAGGTAAAATATAATTTTATTTTTCCCAATAAATCATCAACATCGAAAAAATAACGGAGTGTTTTCTATTCATTGTTTGTAGACAATTTTGATCGAAAACTGGTTGCGGTTAAAACGCGCGAAGGCGGGATTGAATACTGATGACATCACAACTCGCTAGCTCCTGCACTCTATGCATAAGCAATGCGCCATGTATCACAATATCCTTGCCTTGCGCCGCTCTATCAAACACATACTGCACCAAATATATTTATAATATTTGCTAGTATCATCTAAAATATTGCTTCTTGTTAACGAAGCAAGTTATAAGTGATAAAAAGCAATTATTAAGAACAGTTCTTCCGACTTTCAGGGTTAAGTAAAAATTAAATTTTTATGTTTAAACACAAAATGCATTTCTATATTCTCTCTAAATAAAATTAGACACGACTTTATCCACTTGTTTGTTGAAGTTTTTTTAGTAAAAGTAGTTTTTCAAAACTCTTTCTTCCCTCTATTTTATTGTTAAACGTATTTCTAGCTTCTTTGCTGTTTCGAATAAAAAGTAATATCTGAGAATCCGTCGTCATAAAATGCATTTCCTCACAGCGAACGTTCAGATTAACAATAAGCGAATGCGACCAGGACAATGCGGTGTATCCGTCACTGTCAAATCTTGAACATGGCCCGTTTGTAATTTGCCTAGATAATAAAAAGTCGCAAGCACTGATGTCAGTGCAAATTTCAATTATAAATATTTGCAAATTGTCTGTACAAAAGTTCATTTTATGAATTTTGTTTCATTTTTTTCCGGTTTTTGCTAAAATAAAAAAGACTGCTACCCATTACGTCAAAAGGTAGCAGATATTGCCTACTTTCAATGTATAGAGGAGGGGAAGTACTAAAAGAAGATTTTTACCTTTCTCATACGTACCCACCTTTATATTTTAATTCCATCGTTTCATCATAAGAAATTAGTGAGAGTGATTACAATATTGCCTCCATCACACATGTGCTATATTCGATTTACTTAGGAACATTACAAACGGGCAGCGTTCAAAATTTGTTGTTAACACATTCGGCGCGGGATGTGCCAGCCCGTTGCAAATTCGTTTCGTTAAACAAACGAGCAGTTGGCGTGGCTAGGCTCTGTTATGACACAATCACTACGCCAGTTTACTTGCAAATAGATATGAAAGACTGAATTAAACATGAAGAAATTTGAATTTTCTTTGATGCTTTACAGGATATAGCGGTCAACTAACAACAGATTACTATAGCGAAAAATAACTCACCAGATCAGTTAAATCGTTAGTGAGTCCGTTAGTCAAAAATCAATATAGCTTAAATTCTGTTTCATCATCATCATCATCGTCAGCTCACTATACGTCCCCACCGAGGGGCTCGGAGCCTACCTTAAATTAGGGGTGACTAGGCCATAGTCAACCACGCTGGCCAAGTGCGGGTTGGTTGACTTCACACATATCTTTGAATTTCTTCTCAGATTTGCGTAGGTTGCATCACGATGTTTTCCTTCACCGTAAGAACGTCGGAAAAATGTACATATGTGAATCGGAAATCGAAAAACACATTGGTACATGGCGGGATTCGAACCCAGGACCTGCAGATTACAAGTCAAGTGCTTGACTCCTGAGCCACCGACGCTCGCCGCCGCCGAATGCTGTTTACTTTACAGAAATATTTGTTTAAATAAGTTAGTGGTATTTTTTCCTAGTTTCTTTTACTATTATTGTAATTATAAGCTTAATAACAAATTAGTTTTTGTTATAGCGTATCTCCAGAACGGCTGAACGGATTTCAATTAAATTTGACGAACATATAAAACATAGTCTGAAAAAAGTATTAGGTGCGCAACTAATATGTTTTATATGTTTGCCTTTTTTTTATTTTACTTCCGCGCGGACGGAGACGCGGACGACAGCAAGTTTTAAATACATTTAAAGTATGCACTCGTAATAGTAACGGTTCTTTTCTTATTAGAATTTAAAATAGTGTTTTATAACATCATAATATTGTGTCTGTCGTCGTTCTTGCAAAAATAGAATCCACAAAAAACAATTTACTACTTTGAAGTTTATTAAAAAGTTACTTAAAGTAAAAGAATGTTACGTTTGGATAATTTTCACGGAGTGGCTAATAAAATAAATGTAAAGCATGAATATGCAAAAGAGAATTTATAAACAAACTTTGGTTCATTTATTCCGATACACCGTTGTGCAGACACTGGAAAAAGTTCGGCGGCAACTGGATTTCATAATGTGATTTTAATTCTTTCTTCCTACAACGAACAGGATAATTTAAATAAAAAGCAAAGTAACTGGATATTTCATCTGTTGGGAGAAATAAAGAAAACAAATAAAATTATTGACGTATAAATTCTAAACTCGGGAGGAATGGAGTTGGCAAGAAGTTGGAAATCACCGTCGCGTTTTTCTTTCTTCGGAAAAAGTTGTAATCGTTATATTGTAAGTTTACATTATATAAGTATTATTTATCTTACTAATAATATAAGGGCGAATTTTTGGTTGTATAGATGGATGGATATTTGTTAGAAGGTATATTCAGAACACCTGTATTTATCTCGCTGAAATTTGGCATAGATGTAGAACATTATCATCATCAGCTCACTACATGTACGTCCCCACCGAGGGGCTCGGAGACTACCCTAAGTTAAGGGTGATTAGGTCAACCACGCTGGCCCAGTGCGGGTTGGTTGACTTCACACATATCTTTGAATTTCTTCTGATATGTGCAGGTTGCATCACGATGTTTTCCTTCACCGTAAGAACGTCGGATAAATGTACATATGTAAATTGGAAATCGAAAAACACAGTGGTACATGGCGGGATTCAAACCCAGGACCTGCAGATTGCAAGTCTGGTACTTGACCCCTGAGACACCGACGCTCTTCGGCCGATGTAGAACATAGCTTAGAAGAACACCACGGCCTCAAGCCACGGGTTACAGCTATAAATTAAATATTATTGTAATTGTATTCATAAAACTATGGTAACGAGATACCAATGAAGAGACGCAAAAAAATCCGCTGAAAACATAGTAATATCCTTATTAAGGTCTGTCTAGATGTATACGTTAACTAGAATGTTATTGGAAGCAGTCGACGCGGCAATATCAGTGGTTGTACGAAGCTGTATTACGCAGATTGGATTGGGAACGAACTTCACCTGTGACGTCACTATTTCGATACTCAGATTACTTCTACCGTATTTAAAGTTCTTTACAATATACTTATTTAGATTTATATTTGACTAGCTGTCGCCTACGCCTTTGACTCCGACCGTGCGGTAATAAAAAAGTAAGTAGCCTTTGAGTTTTCACAGACTATGTTGTACATCTATGTTAATTTTCATCGAGATCCATGTCGCCGTTCTGGACATACTTTCAAATAAACATCCATCCTTTCATCAAACCGTCTAAACATTCGCATTTATAATATTTATAATTTGTTCTATAAACTAGGACCTTTTAATCTTCTACAAAAAAGATCTATCTGTACGGCTAATAGTCCAGTGAATTCAGTTAGGAACTGAAGAAATTTAATAATTCATTATCTACGAATCTTTTAAAATTGACAATTAAAAAACATTGTTATATATATTTTTTTTAATTCTATTATTTCTCATCAACATTTATTGTATTACCAATAAATTACCAACTATAATATGAAATTTAAACATATTACCGTTAAATATTCATATGTTTCCGGCGTCTCACGCTGCGTAATGGCCATAGTGCATTGTATTTTACTTCGATCATGCGTTCGTCTGTGGTAACGAACTGCCAATTACTCTAATTCATAGTGGGCATGTGGTAATCATATAACACAATATCTAATATCATTAACATCTTCTGTAATTATTGATCTTCAATTGTTTTCTAGTTAGTTATTTGTAGAGTAAGAAAGTATGACTGTGTAACACTTATTAGTAATTTAGCCTAGACTTAAGCTGGGCTAGCCTTGACTAGATAATACTGCCATAGACGTATATATAATCCCGTTTCTTACGAATTTTATGATTGATAAAAAAACATTTTTTTTTAAATATATATAGGCATAGAAGTTAAAACACTTTATATATGCTTTCATATTATATTAAAGCTTATTTCGTATATTGCAATGACCCCATTTTCATATTTATATATTATACATTATATAAGCTATTATGATTAACTTACCTTTACAAAGAAGCATAACAGTGAAGAGGAACGCGAGGGCACCGTGTTGTGACGTCATCATGTAACGCCTGGCAACGTATCCCAGTCGGTATGTCACCAGCAGCCGGATTCATCTCATGCCAAACTCTACAACAAACAAAAATATTTTAATACGTATTATTTCAAAGTCTAAAACAATAGACAAATATTGAATTTGACTATTATATGTCCCTTACTATACGTCCCCACCGAGGGGCTAGAGCCTACCCTAAGTTAGCGGTGACTATGACATAGTCAACCACGATGGCCAAGTGCGGGTTGGTCGACTTCAGACATATCTTTGAATTTCTTCTCAGATATGTTGCATCACGATGTTTTCCTTCACCTTAAGAAGAACTACGGATAAATGTACATATGTAAATCGGAAATCGAAAATAACTTTGGTACATGGCGGTATTCGAAGTCAGGACTTGCAGATTGCAAGTCACTTTGAGCCCTGAGCCACTGACGCTCCTACATAAAGGAATGAAATTTAATACGTCTGCAATTACACCATTAAACAATTAATATAAAAAGGCATAAATATATTGATAAGAAATGTTCTAGTTTACAAAGAGAAATCAATGGGTTCATGTTAACATCTGTCGACTGACATACGGGCAAACTTTAAATAAAACGTTTCGGAGGCGGCCCTTAATTGGGCTTTTTACAAACATTAATCAAGTGCTACGTCGGGGGGAATTTTTATGTCGGTCCGGCGACCGGCGGCCGACAACCGACCGTGACGGATGACGCGCGGCCGAGGGTCGAAAGGCGACTGCATCCATCAATGAATTGGATACTAGTAAAGGGTAAAATTAATCTGGCAAAGCTTTAACATTGTGCTCAATATTAATAAAAAGTAAGAAATCTTTTTTCATCGTTCATCTTTTTCCAAAGACAAATGACGACAAACATAAAAATATGTAAGTCCCAATGGAAATGAAAGTGTTGTTTATATAGAATAAGAAAGTTAAAGAGCAAGCTAAATAAATACGTAAGTTATTCACACAAGAGTAAGTTTATGGATCCTATTCTAAAAATAATTTGTACAATTATATATTTTTATCAATGAGCTATAGATCCGTGTTATATTTTGTTTTTCTAGTGACATACGCAATCATAAGTAAGGTTTGCGTATCTCACGTAGCGTAGTTCCAGTCTCTATGATAAAGTCTTGACAAATGATACCGTAGTAAACATACAAAATGCAACATCGTCGTTATTTGTAAAGTAGAATATTTTACTTTACTGAAATAGTATACCAAAATGTGTCCGCTTTTATTTTAATTGACATTAAAACATGCAGAGAGCGGCCCTCTAGCCAGAGACAGCGGGTAGCTGCTGCGAGCCATTAGCCAAATGAAACTCATTCGACAATTTCAGCAAATATTGAAACGCAACAGATGCTATCTTAAGCGAAATTGTTAAAAGAAAATGCACGAAAAACGATTCACAATGTTAATTAATATAAATAATTGTAGTTCCAACAATAATCTACACTAAAAGTCTGTTTTATTAACCATTAAACATCGCTTAGTGCGGCTGTACGAAATATTATACGCCATTTAATCTCAAGCTTCGATTTCATTGATGAAGCGCGTGAATCCGTGAGGCACCGCTGGTTAATATGTCTTTAATCTTAATTATGTTACATGAGTGCGGGTGTGACGCGACCAAAAAGAAAGCAAAATAAACTGTAGCCCCTAAGACACCAGAAGGGTCCTAACCTAGTTGGTGACGACACCAGAAAATGAAACATGAATGGTAGCCATATATTAATTATTCTATAATGATGTCTTCTGAAGATTTAAACCATTTATTTCACATGCGTATATTTTATCTTTAACCATTGGTTTCTGAGATAATAATTTTAAATGGAGACTTTGGTCTCAGAAGCCCACGGTCAATGTCTTATTCTTAATTATATTAAAAATGATTATTCAATCAGTTTCTGCTTTCACAATTTCATTCCCAATTAATTTGTAGATAACGATCACAATTCGTGTTCCGTGTTTATCAGATATCGAACGAGAAAGGGCATGTTATTAACTATTGCATGATTCGAACTTGTTCTAGAAAGTTTTTTTTTTGACACTTGTAATATATTGTAACGGTGTTTAAATTTTATGATGTTTAAATTGTATTAAAGAGTTTTAAATTTTTATATAAAATTGGAACATTTTTTAATGAAATAATAATGTGAATAACCAACAACAGAGCTGGTGCGGCTTGTGAAGCGGAGGAAAATGCTAAAGCAAACATTTGTTTCCTTTAGCATTAAATACAGTCTAGGCTCCGAATTTCGGTTCGGAATTCGGCGTCGAGACCCTTGGTCCTTGGGGTCCTCGCGCTTTAAGGATTTAAGGAAATATCAAAAAAGTTAATCGACATCACATTAGTATAGGTATTCAAAGGGGGAAAGATTGCAGTATCTTCGGAACCTTGCCTAAAGGTACTCATTTTAATTATATATTTTAGTTAATTATTCGTTTTTAATATTTTATTTAATATCATAGATTTAAGAATCTTTTGTCATTAAGTTACGTGAAGTAATATTTTGGAAAGTCATAACTAATACAAACATAATGTGAAATGATTACAAATCTAAAAGCTCTCACGAAATATCTTTGATATTATAAAATCCAATACAGAACCAATCTGTTGGATTATTAAACTTTGAATATTAGATAACTAATGAATTTAATGGACGTATAAATCTAATATAAGGCAGTTTTGCTAATAATAAAATTTTCTCTAACCAATTTTAATATTATGTTCACATATTCTTCGTGAGCGTCGGTGGCTCAGGAGTCAAGCACTTGACTAGCAATCTGCAGGTCCTGAGTTCGAATCCCGCCATGTACCATTGTGTTTTTCAATTTCCGATTTACATATGTACATTTATCCGACGTTCTTACGGTGAAGGAAAACATCGTGATGCAACCTGCACATATCTGAGAAGAAATTCAAAGATATGTGTGAAGTCAACCAATCCGCACTTGGCGAGCGTGGTTGACTATGGCCTAATCACCCTTAACTTAGGGTAGTCTCCGAGCCCCTCGGTGGGGACGTACAGTGAGCTGATGATGATGATTTTTCCTATGTACGTTGTAAAATTGTAATTGCATGTTTTAGTTATTAGTTATTTAGGAATGTTTTTAAATTAAATATATGATTTATAACAAGAAAACGTATTACATCAAATGAAAATATATCTAATATTGATATGAGGTATAAAAAAACACCCCCTAGGCGCGTTCCTATAAATAATTGATGAATCCAAAACGACTTTCACTTCGGGTCTTGGAAAACTAAAATAAATTATTACCGTGAATATTTTTAACAGTCTAGACGCGCGCAAATCCTGAATTTTTACACTACAAATTTTTTTGCTACAATATTACATCCTTTTGTGCAGTACGAAATGTTTAAAAATAGACACTAAAGGATGAGTCATGATTACTATAATACAACAGCCTGTATAGTAGATGGACAAAAAAGACTTTTACCAGTATTTTTCTTATGAAACAAATGAATAATTTTTAGAACAAACTCTATCTTTTAATTTTTACTTTAGTTTTACGAAACATTGTTACTAAGAATAAGAAACAAATAAAATCCGCTTTCACGGTTATACTTAAATCAATTAAACTTTCCTGAACAAATAATAAATGGCCTTGTTACGTGTTTCGACAGCCTAATAGGGACGGGTGTCGTTAGGCGAATGATTTAATGATCATTCCGTTCATTTGTTACTTGAAGTATCCGCTTCTTTTCAGGACTAAAAAAATAATAAAATACCTCAAGTTTATTCTTTTTAACTCCGTATTCTTGTAAAGCGACATCTATCGGTATACTTATGAAGTTGAGTTAAATTGATGTGTTTTTAACGAGAGAGACAGACCAGTCATGTTCACAATTAAAGTTTAATGATTGTCGTAAAATTTTACAGTATTAAAGCCTTTGTTACATGTATTATACCTATGAATATAAAAACGCTTAATATGATTTCATAAGAGCCAATTAATAGACAATCTAGTCTAATGTAATTATGAGTTACAAATACTATGATCATTTCTGATCGATGGCCGCCTAGATCATTGCATTCAATCAAATATACTGTACTAGACCGCGACTCTGTCCGCGCGGAATAAAAAAAAACGTAATAATTAGGTTATGCCGTCTAATAGATTATGTTCTATATCTGTGAAAAATTTCATCAAGATCCATTGAGCCGTTCCAGAGATAACTTCAAGCAGACATCCATCCAACCAAACATTCGCGTTTATAATATTAATAAGATTAGTATGCTTATTGTCATGTAAATACTCTTTTACAAATGAGTCATACGAATGATATCAGGAAGCCCCTTAGCTTTTTTTATAAACACGTCTGCCATAGTTTGACAGGCGTGTTCCATCTGCCACAAACATTACATCATGTTATTATCGCGTACCTATTAGATGACTAATAGGGGTCATTTCTGCGTGCACGGGACACGGACGGACAGCTGTTTACCTAATTCAGCCGGCTCTGGTCCGGTCTGTTGACCGATGGATAATGTTATGGCAGAATGAAAGTTATTTCGTGATACAGGCTGTTTAGTTAGGCCTAAAGTGTTCTCAACCGCAAGCCGTTTTACGGCTAAAATCTGTAATAATGGTTAGCTATTTTAATATTTAATATTTTAATTTATCCTGATTGTTAATCGATTGATTTTTGTTTCAATTTAAAATATAATGGAAGGAAATTATTACGATTAGTTACAATCTTAGATGTCTGATGTATTTTAGTATAATCTTACATTAAAAATTCTAGTGTCCCAATGTTAGTTACCGTGTTCAGACGCGTGACAGATTTTTATTAAACTTTATATGCATTTTGTAGGTCTGAGAATCGACTACTATCTATTTTTTAATCCTGCAAAGACGGAGTCGCGGTCGACAACTAGTAATATGTAAAGAAACTGTTTGTATATTTGTTTGTGATGTATAAACTTAAAAACTCATATACGGACTGCAAATATTCTTTCTACATTAGAATGCTTAATTATCCCTGAATAAGATCGGCTATATTTAGTATACCTATTTTGTAATTGTTAAAAT